TCGGCAGAGGTTAAGGAGGTTCTGAGGAACAATAACAATACTGCTGGACAACATAGTTTTGTGGAATATGTAGAGGAGACAGTTAACGACGGTTCCGACACATCAACACTCCTTCTCTCGATTGCTAATTCTTTTGATTTATTCGTGGTGGGGAGGAGCGCCGGAGTAGGGACAGACGTGGTGAGTGCACTGAGTGAGTGGACGGAGTTTGATGAGTTAGGTGTGATTGGAGATTTGTTGGTGTCTTCAGATTTCCCCCGTAGAGGTTCGGTGTTGGTGGTGCAACAACAACAGAATGTAGCTTGTAGATGATATTACATTGGCGTCTACTCTTTATTCATTTATAAGATATCAAATATAGAAAATACACTTCTCACACGAGACACATTTGTAGCTCCAAAATTTGCAAGTGACAGTTTGTCTCCGTGGCCTTGTGATGATAACAACTTACAAAATGACCGTTCCGAGATCCGACTTGCACAGAGAAGATCTGATTAAAATTTTTAAGTATAACTTGTTAGACTTTTCATTCCACATGATTTTTAAAAAAATTAGAAAAACAGAAAACAATAGTAAAAGATTTATAATGATTAACATTTTGGAGTTTACAAGTTTTTTCTCTTTTTCGCTATACAATAAAGAAAACGGCAAATTTGAGCAAAAGAGTAAACAAATCACATAGCAAATCAGTGCAGTCTTAAAATACCTGTACAGGCTGTACTTGGCACCCACTTGATCATTCAAAAAATTATGAGAATTTCACGCACTTAATATTTTCAATGAAATTCCCCAATTAATTAAACCTTTACAAGATGAATTAATTGAGGCCATTACAAGATGAATTAATTAAACCTGGTTGAGTTCAAAATGGTTTGCAGGTGATTTACCCTGGTTCTAATTTTTTTTTGTAGTCTTAGACCACAATTGCGACTAGTAAATCTAATGCCTAATTAATTACTTGGAAGAAACTTAATCATGTGATTATGATTTACATTGGGTTGAAGCATTGAAGCTCTGTATAATTTTAAATTTGGAGAATTTGACTATGAGAGTAATTTGGTATTATATATCTTGATCTAGATACAGAATTCTTTAGTTACAGGGTTACTTATTTTCTAGTCTCTTTTAGTATTTATTTTTCTTTGTTATATTATTTGGTTTATTTTGCATGCTTACTTTATGAACAATTCTTGGGTTCACCCCTACGGCTGAACTCTTATATTCACCCCCTTTGGTTTTAACCAATCATTATGCTATGTGATATATTATTTAAATTGAAATTAAAAATTAACCAAACAAATAAAATAAATTAAGAAAATAAAATCATCAACAAAAAAAAAATAGGAGACGACGGTGGTTCTCCTTGATTGGATTCGAAAGAGAAAACGCATTCGTTTCGAACGGGAAAGAGACGACGGTTCTGTTCGGTTGGATTCAGAAACGAATTGGAGATTTTTGTCGATTAGGTGTAGAGTTGGTATATATGTTATTTATGAAGGTTGTTGTGTTGGTCTTAAAGGTCACGTGCACTAGCAAATGGAGGTTTCTATAGATTGATGCATTTCTGTTAGGCTCTCTCTTGTTTAGGCGAAGCCATGTTTTCAGTTTTATGTTTCTCATCCAAATTTTGATGTTTAAATTTGTTGCAGTTTTCATGAGTTGAATTCTACTTCTTATACGCTTGAAGTTTATGTTGGCATTTGAGTTCTATCACTACAAGAAAACATGTGATATTCCAACAGATGCTTCCAATAATCGTATTTTGTTGAAAATTTGTAACCGATATTCTATAAAATTGCAACAAATATTTTATTTATTGAAAATTTATTGCAAAGTTCCAATAAATTTTGGTTATGGTAAATTTGTCACAAACGTCGTAGGAAAATTGTTGGAATTGTCCAACAAATATGATATTGTTGCAAATTAGCAATAATTATTAAATTGTTGGAAATTATTAACAAAATATTTGTTAGAAACAAATTCTTTTGTGGGAATTTATTTCTAACAAGTTAATGACAAAATTTTTGTTGGAAAAGTGGGGAAAAAAATAAAAACGAAAATAAAAAAAAAATACGGAAAAAACAAAAAAAAAACGGAAAAAACCAAAAAAAAAAGGAAAAAAATTTAGGTTAAATATGATCATCTTCTTCTTCTTTTCTCTTTTTTTTTTTCTGTGAAGTTATACTTCTGAAAAAATTGAAAACTATTTTCAATGACAGGACCAAAAAACAAAAATCGTGAGTGGATGTATAATTATATAGATGAAGGTACTGGAGAATTAACAAAGGAATTTAAAGAAGGTCTTGTTGATTTTATGCGTTTTGCTGCAAATCAAGAGATTCCATTGGAGTGTGGTAAGATGTATTGTCCCTGTTCTACTTGTGGTAATGAGAAATTTCTTCCAGTAGATTCTATTTGGAAGCACTTATATAGTAGAGGATTTACGCCTGGATATTACATATGGTTTTCTCATGGGGAAGATTTTGAAACTTTAGCAAATAGTAACGAAGATGATGAAAATCATGGGTTGGAACTTGGAGATAATAATAGTAATGAAGAGGAAGAGAATATAACTAGAGATCCTACCGGTGTAATACAGATGGTAACAGATGCTTTTCGCGAAACGACTGAAAGTGGAATTGAAGAACCAAACTTAGAAGCGAAAAAGTTTTTTGATATGTTAGATGCAGCGAAGAAACCAATTTATGCTGGCTGTAAAGAGGGTCACTCTCGTTTATCAGCTGCAACACGGATGATGAATATAAAAACAGAGTATAACTTGTCGGAGGATTGTGTTGACGCAATAGCTGATTTCGTGAAGGATTTACTGCCAGAACCAAACTTGGCACCTGGTTCTTACTATGAAATACAAAAATTGGTATCTTCACTTGGGTTACCCTTCCAGATGATAGATGTGTGTGTTGATAACTGCATGATATTTTGGAGAGATACCGCAAATCTGGATGCCTGTACATTTTGTCAGAAGCCAAGATTTCAGGTTACAAGTGGAAAAAGTCGAGTACCTTTCAAGCGTATGTGGTATTTGCCAATAACAGATAGGTTGAAGAGGTTATACCAATCTAAACGCACGGCAGGTCCTATGAGATGGCATGCAGAGCATTCATCCGACGGGAATATTTCGCATCCTTCTGATGCTGAAGCATGGAAACATTTCAATTCGTTGTATAAAGACTTTGCAAATGAGCATAGGAATGTGTATTTGGGATTATGTACGGATGCTTTTAATCCATTCGGAAAGTCTGGACGCAAATACTCACTATGGCCGGTAATCTTAACACCCTATAATCTTCCTCCATCTCTATGTATGAAACGAGAATTTTTGTTCCTAAGCATTCTTGTTCCTGGACCTGAACATCCTAGGCGATCACTTGATGTATTCTTACAACCGTTGATTCATGAGTTACAAATGTTGTGGTCCGAGGGTGTAGTTACATATGATGTTTCTCTAAGGAACAATTTCGTGATGCGTGCTGTTCTGATGTGGACGATTAGTGATTTTCCAGCATATGGAATGTTATCTGGGTGGACAACGCATGGAAGGCTATCATGTCCCTTCTGTCAGGATACTACAGATGCATTTCAGCTTAAGCATGGAAAAAAATCTTGTTGGTTTGATTGTCATCGACGGTTCTTACCAAAGAATCATCCATATAGGCGAAGTAGGAATGTGTTCAGAAAAAACAAAATGGTGAGTGATGACTCGCCTCCGATGTTATCAGGACAAGATATACTGACACAATTCAGAGATTTTGGTGTTTTTAAGACAACCGATGTTGGCGGTAATGGACATGATCCTATTTATGGGTATGGTCTTAACCATAACTGGCACAAAAAAAGTATCTTCTGGGATTTACCGTATTGGAAGGATCATTTGCTAAGGCATAACCTAGATGTGATGCATATTGAGAAGAACTTTTTTGACAATATCATAAATACAATCTTGGATGTGCTAGGCAAGACAAAGGACAATCTAAAATCGAGATTGGACCTTCCTGATATATGTGAGCGTCCTGAGCTATATGTTATGGACAATGGAAAAGGTCCAATTCCAATCTTCAGATTAGATGCAAAGGGAAAGAAAGCGCTATTTGATTGGATAATCAATAGTGTTAAATTTCCTGATGGTTATGCATCTAATCTCTCGCGTTGCGTAGATATTAACAACGGCAAATTTTCTGGAATGAAGAGTCATGATTGCCATGTTTTTATGCAACGTTTGCTTCCTTTCGCATTGGCTGAACTTTTACCTAAAAATGTTCATCAAGCAATAGCCGGTATGTACTGTTAACTTAACTATTATTTTACTTAGATATATATATTATGAAAACATATTTACAGGTTTACTAATAAATATATAAAATTACTGCAGGGATAAGTACATTTTTCAGAGACCTTTGCTCAAGATCCCTCACAGCCGATGGCATAGCTCTCCTAGATAAGAACATTCCTTTGATCTTATGCAATTTAGAAAAAATATTTCCACCATCTTTTTTTGATGTTATGGAACATCTTCCGGTTCATCTTCCTCGAGAAGTAGCTCTAGGTGGACCTGTTCAGTATAGGTGGATGTATCCATTTGAAAGGTTCATGTTCCATCTTAAAAAGAAAGTGAAAAATCTGAGCAAGGTCGAGGGTTCTATTGTGGCGCAGAGTATAAGTGAAGAGACTTCATATTTTTCTTCGTACTACTTCGCACCTAATGTTCAAACAAAAGCTAGAAAACCAGGCCGCTATGATGATGGCGGTAAGAAACCTTCTTACCACACCGATATCCCAAAAATATTTACAGAAGTAGGGCGGTTTAGCGGAAAACAACAGTCAGTTTGGTTGACAGATGAAGAATACAAACATGTGCATAACTATATACTTCGTAACTGCGAAGAAGTATTACCATATGAGAGGTATTTTAATTCTCTCTATATATTTATTTTGAGTAGATTTTTTTGATTAATTTGATGGGTAACTTTTACAGAAAATTTGTCCAAAATATCAAGAGCTCATATCCACAGAAAAGTGATAACGAAATAGAGATCATGAAAGAAGAAGAATTTCCGAAGTGGCTAAAATACTATGTGAGTTGAAAACCTCTTTTTTTTTTTAATTGGATTGTACTAAGTTGCTAAACTGTTAATTCATATTTGTAGGTTAAATCAGCGTCTTCTTTGGGTGAGCCAGTTCCAACGTGGCTTCGAGAGTTAGTAGGAGGACCACTTTCTGAGACGATTTCATCGCCAATATATTGTACTCGTGGATATGTATTTAAGAGAAGGACTGCCTCAAAAAATAGACAGACCGTCAACCATGGAGTTGTTGTGCGTACGATGGATGAAGAATACTATGGTGTGATAGAAGACATTTTAGAGGTCGAATATCCTGGACTCATAAAATGTGTGCTTTTCAAGTGTCAGTGGTATGATCCTACAAGGGAACGTGGTGTTCGACTTACCAAATTTGGCGTTACGGAGATTAACTCGTCGAAAAAGCTGAATAAGTATGATCCATTTGTTCTTGCATCCCAAGTCGATCAAGTGTGCTATATTCCATATCCTAGAGTTAAACGCATCCATGATCCGTGGATCACAGCTACACAAATTAATCCAAGAGGAAGAGTAGATGGAGTGAAGGACCACGATCCGATGCAACAAAACTCTGTAGACTCTATTAGTGTGGTTGAACACTCTCTTGAAAACACTATATTGGTTGATGTTGAAAATCTCCATCTTGATGATGTTAGTGTAGGTGGTGATGACAATGCAGATGAATTTGACGATTCTGACAATTCAAGTCGGTCAAGCGACTCATCAGATTCAGATGATCATGAGTAGAACTATTGTTTTTTTTTTGTTGTGAGCTCTTTGTTCCTTCTACGATTTGCTTGTCTTTTTTGGTTCATTCAGATACATTTTCCGTTTAGTCACTTTCTTCTCCCCTTGTGTTTCAGTTCACTGATTTTGCGATTTCGTTTTGAGTTTTTGAGTTCATTGCTCTCGATTTCATCTAAATTATCTTCTGTAAGTACAATCTCAAGTTTACTATTTTAATGACTAACAAGTTGGTGTTGAGATTGTGTTTTGCAGGTTAATCAAAGATTGTTTCAGGTATTGGAGTAATCTACGATTTTGGAAATTCTGTTTATGAACTAGCTGGTTCTTTATTGACAATGGTTTGTTCTGAGTGGTTTTATCTCAGGTATCCAGGTTAAAGAGGTTAAAAGTATCAATGAAGAGTTTTGCAAAGCACAAGTTTGTGTGTTGCAGGTTTTAACCTTGGAGTTTGTGTGTTGCAGGTTTGTGTGTTACTACAAAAGAACGCAACTTTGTTTCGAAATTTCGATCCTTGGAGTTTCAAGATTGTTTTTTTTTTTTTTTTTGGTTTCATCCTTTGGGTCCATAGCGTTGACAGGTCCTGCTTCGTTTGGCTGTAGATTACAAATCTGATTGCTTTAGGGTTTTGTCTTTTTGCCGATTTTGGGGATGGTTGATCTTTCAATTGAATCCTCAATCTGATTGCTGACATTAGAATGTTCATTCCAGTTTTGTCTTAATTCCCATCTAGTTGGTGAAAGGGTTTAGATTTTGCTTGAAATTTATGCTTCAGATGCGTTGAAGTTGTACTGTTTATAATTCTGTGTTGTACTCGGATTCAAAGTTGTTGCCTTTACATGTCATATATCTGTTTTGGCTATTTCATGCCTCACCATTGAATCCTTCGTTTCAGGCCAATCAACCATTTACGAGAGCTATCTTTCAGGCCTGAGTTCACTTAAAGGGTCCCTGCTTGGTTTGCTTATGAGACTGACTATTGTTTGTGGAGTTGAATAATATCTGCAAATGTCAAGTCTTCTTAATGTACTGCCACATATCCTTTATATCAATGTGTTGCAGTATTACTAATCTAGCTTCTAGGATTTATTCATGTCTATCATTCCTCTAACTAGTGGTAGTTCCAGTCCTCAAATTTATCAGACTGTTCAGGGAGAACGTTTATTTTTAGAAAATAATGCAAAAATGACCCCTTTCTTTGGCTCTCCCTCTCAATTTTCATTTTTGATTCTCATTTGCAGATATATCACTGTAGCTCTCTTGGATACTCAGGACTCAGGGCTTCTCAAAACTGTGCAAGCAATCTGGTGACCAAGAAGCTCCTGTTATCTTTCTTAAGCATAATGTGAGTATTTGATTTCTCATCCATGAGTATAAACATTGCAATGGGTTGTACGTTTCAGCATGGGAGAGCAAAAAGCTTAAGTCAGGAAAACGTAGTGGAGAACAACACTAAAAAACCGACTCGTGAGTTTGATATACTACAATCTTGCAGATTAATAAGTCCGAGATAGAGCATGGTTAAAAGTGTTCTGAGGGGCTGCTCACATGAAGTCTTTCAAGCTTGAATCAAGGTGGAGAATGTTGAAGTATGATCCAACCTTGAGACTCATTTAGCATGTTGGAGAGAGCTAAGTCAGAACGTTTTGAAAGAAGATTAAGAAGAAGCTACTGGTGGAAATAGAGGGTCTCAAGTCATAGAATAAAGAGTCACGTGAGTGGAGGTGAGAAGAAACGACACGATGCCGTTTTAGCTCTATAAGAGAGACTCGAAGCTTCTTCTTCACATACAGTACCAGACGAGAAGATTCAAGATTCTGATTCTCAATTTTCTAGGTTTCTTGGTGAGAGTTAGGGAGAGAGAGAAGTGAGAGAGAGTAATTCTCAGGTCCTTCTTGTTCTTTATCTTCTTATTCTTCGTCTTCTTAGATAGAGAGAGTTAGTGTGAGGGATCTCCATTGAAGAGCACCATTATAACCTCTTGAAACATTGGATAGTGGATTCGGCTTGTGAGGAGCAATACCTCACCGAGACGTACCTCAAAGTTGCGGTTTGCAACAGAGGGAACTCGTAAATCTCTTGTGTCCTTAGTTTATGTTTTATCACGTAATCGCAATAATCGAAGAAAGCAAATCAGTGTGAAATTGAGTCTGATTTCCAACAGTGATGTTGGTTATTCAAAATCTGGGTTTTGGTTATTCATAATAGTTGTTATTAACTTGATTAAACAAGAACAGAGGTATTGTTTATGAACAAAGGTTTGTTCTTTCATTGAATCTGTCGGCTTTATGATGAAAAGTGTTGTTTATGAAGATTTTTTCAAATTCGATTTGGGTTTTCTCAGTTTGTTGTGATTTTTTGATTGATTGTGGTCTTGAGAGTTTCTTAATTTTGATATCATAATTAAGAATTTTCTTTTGAATGATTTGAAGGTTTCTCTTGAGGATTGTACCTTGAACAATGAAGAAGCTTTCACTTTCTAGGAATGCTCTCTGCTCAAAGTGTAACGGTTAGTACATTCGTTCACTCGACGTCATTCTTTTAATACGTTTTTCGGTGGTATTGCAGTGTTCTCTCTCTTTTGATCTAATCTTTAGCTCGTTCTTGAATTCTATAATGGTTTTAGGATTGAAAAAGTTGTGTGTATGGAGATAATTGCCTCTAAAATGTCTTATTCTCTAAATTGCCGCTTATTATTTTTACAGAAATTTAGAAATTGCCGCTGTTTTTTTAGAAAATTTGTTTAGCGAATATATCCCATTAATTTCGGTTGGTTTTACCACAACTATTAATACCCATAACCTCTTATGTTAACCCTAATTTTTATTTAGCGATCCCCACTCCACAGGTTCTTTACTACTCTTCACGTCTCACCACCGTAACTCTTCTTTTCTACAGGTAATTTTATTACTTTTTTGATCATAAAACTGGCTTTGTTGATGAATTTTCTTGTTAATTTCGAACTTTGTAACTGAGTTTCTTTATCTATTTCATGAACTCATGTAGACATGGGGACTTGGGATGACTATATGGCTTATAGACGAAGGATGGACCAAAACCTATTGGGATCGAGTTCTCAACAGATGAGTGACTCCCCTACAGATGCTGGAGAACCGTCTAGAGTACCTGAGACGCCTACAAATGGACAAAGCTCAACGGATCCAGCAGATTTATTGACTCTGGACCAATTGCTTCGATCTGCAGGCCGTGCAAGCCTAAAAAAACTTGATCCGAGAAGAATGAATGGTGATGGATGGTAAATTCCACTTAAACTTCTGTTTTAATTCTGTAACTTTATTCTCTGAGTTTTTGTTCTCTTAGTAAGATTAGAGAAAAAATGTGGTCCGTGAATGACTTGAATGAGTTGTCATGATAGATTAGTTTATGTTGAATTAGAAGTCAACGAAACCTAACATGGCTTTTTTTTTTCTTAATCTAAGATAGTAGATTCATTACAGCCTAGTTTGATTATTCTATGTGCAAACACTATGTCTAAGCCACTTAATTAGTTACAAAGTTTACACTATGTCTAAGCCACATAAACAGAGCTATTAGAACAAGCGTATCATTGATTTATATTTATGATCATTAGCGTTGATTTCCTGTTTATATAACTACTCTTATATTTATTAACATACAAGGTTTGAATACACCAAGGGGATTACTAAGGCTGTGAAAAAAATTGTGGAGAGCGATTTCAAAGAAGTGGCTCCTAATTGGTCAACACTCTCAAGCGATACCAAGTTACGTTGGTTCAAAGCATTTGCGGTATGTTTTTTCTATATTTGTTTTGTCAAAGTCTTTATAATTAGTGTTACTATTTAGACATTGTTATCTATTTGATTTTCATTCTTTTTATTTGATCTTGTAGCAAAAGTATAATTGGCGTTATGAGATAACAACACTTGTTCAACATGAGTTTGAGACTTTGTGTGCATCTCGTTTGCTGGGATATGTCCATGAATGGAAAAAGGCATGGAAGCAAGACAAGGGGAAGCCCCAATGGATGTTAAACTCTGTTTGGATTGGTCTTATTGCTTTCTGGGAAAACGAGAAAAGCATCAAGAGAAGCAAAACCAACTCCAAAAATAAGAAGAGCGATCATGGTGGCTTAGGGATAGCTAAGCACACATGTGGGTCAATGCCATATGTCCGGAGAAGAGAAGAGATGGTAATTTGTTTTATTTTTTGCATTCGATATAGTTTCTATCAAATTCAGTCCAAGTTTTCTATAATGACATATTTGTGTGTTTCAAAACTGTTTAGCGTGATAAGGTGACAGGAGAGCTCCCAGATATGGTTACTTTTATGGAAGCAACCCATAAGAGAAAGTCTGATGGTGTATTTGTGTGCAAAAAAGCTGAGTTGATCGCCAAAAAATGTCGAAACATGGAGCACCAAATTCTTAGTCAAAGAGACAATGATGATGGTGACACTTTGGACACTAACCATCTTACACAAGAAGAAATTGATGCCATTTACCAAGGGGTAAAATGCTGAAACTTCTATTATTTTTTTAATTATACTTCATGTGTTTTTTTTTTTAACCATACTTTATGTTTTTAATACTTTTTTCTTATGTGAATTGTAACATGCAATTTTGAAATTCCAAGAACTTCAAGTGAAGAAAGGCAAGAAATTTGGCTATGGTTCAATTCCGGAAGCTGATCCTAGTGTTGATGCATCTCCAAATTATGAAGAAATGTATCTTGAGACTCAAGAAAAGCTCCAGAAATCGGACCAAGTGATTGAGGGAATGCTGCTGAAGTTTAAAGATGTTGATTTTTGGATTACTATGATGCAGAACAAGTTTCCAAATGAAGTTCCACCTTCCATGATAACAACAATGAACACCAATGGTGGTCTTTGAATTCAATTAGTAATTTGGTTTCATTAAGACTTTAAGCATTTAGGATTGTTTTTCAATATTATGTTTGGATGTTTAAGTGTTTTGAGATTTTAAAATGTTTACCTATTATGATTTTTAATTTTATTATTTATTTTTATTTTTATTTATTTCTTAATTTTATAATATTTTTTTATTAAAAATTACCTAAAAAATATATTCCAACAAAAAGTTGATAAATGGTTCATGAGACATTTTGTTGGAAACTTAGTAGAATATATCAACATATTTTCAACGATTAATTTCTGATAAAATTCCAACAATTAAATCATCAGAAGTTTTTCACAAATTTACAAGAAAAATAGCAATAAATTTTCAACAATTAAATTATCAATAAATTTCTATGAAGTTCCAACAAATAAGGCGTCGGAAATTTTTCACACGTTTCCAAGAAAACATTTCAACAAAGTTGCAACAAATATGTTATTAGTAGTTTCCCATAAACAAACTTTCAGAATTGTTGAATATTTGTGACAAATTATCAATGACATTCCAACAAAATATATGTTGGAACAATTCGTTAGAAACTTCACGGTAAATTCCAACAAATATCCAACAAAAAAATTATCAGAACTATCCAACAAATTGGTCATAGAATTACTCGATGGAAACGTTTCCAATAAATTCGTGACAAATGTAGATTTCCAACGATCATATTCCAACAAATATATGTTCTATTGAAAATTTATTGGAAACATATAATTCCTACAAATTAACAACATAGATGGCTGTTGGAATTTAGCTTTTTTCTTGTAGTGTATATCTGCTTTCTCTGCATTACTTGAGTAGTTGGGTTAGGAAATTAAGAGACTAAATCACAGCCTTACATGTGGCATAATTTGACAAATCTTGAACCAAATTTCAAATGTCTTGCATCTAATGAGAATCTCAACTTTTTCCTTTGTCAAGATGATAAAAATGGACAATCATCAAGAGTGATGTAAGCTATTTATCATGTGTTCCTGGAGTTAAGTCTTAAATATAAAAAGGAGAAAATCTTGATGTGTGCATTATGCCATGTAGTGCTAATAGGAACTTAATTACATGAATCCTGCAACACTCTTTGCTCCCTTTAATCACAGGAGGTTATGTTTTCTAGATATTGATATGATGTTATGTTTGTTCATATTGCATTGATGATGCATGATAAATACCAAATGAAGAGTGCAAGAATGGATGCAGTTCGAAGCAAGGTGATGAAGTGACAGTAGTCGTGTCATGTTTCGTATTGGGTCATAAGATTCGTCTTAGATTCATACTTCAAGCAATTTGATCTTTATATTCGGTTCTTCAAACAACGACGCCATTAACTAATTTTTTTTGGAATGATTTTATTTTGTTTATTTATTTTATTTGTTTGTTTAACTTTTAATTTCAATTTAAATGATATATGACATGGCATAATGATTGGTTAAAACTAAAGGGGGTGAATATAATGTTTCACCCCTAGGGGTGAACCCAATAATTGTTCCTTTATGTGGTTTAATTTGCATGCTTGCTTGTTTGGAATTACTTAATTTGTATAATTATCTATAAGTTCCTGAGAAAGTGTGCTAGTGGGTGCAAAATTCCCTAAATATATATATATATATATTGTTAAATGTAGCTTTGAGGTTGTTGATTGGTTGTAATAGACGATGTACAGTCATACGTGTGCTAATGTAGACAAGGAACAAGAGATGGAGAACAATGTAGCTATAAAAAGAAAAGAAAAACAAAACAAAGTGGTTACCCTAAATATTAACTGTACCTGAGATGCATATCTGTTGTTTGCTGGTTATTCGACCTTAGTCAAAGTTTATAACAAACCCTTCCTAGTCTTCTTCCTTCCCAATCGAACTACAAACCCTAAATCATTCCATTAGATTTTCTTGATCCCTAAGCAATTCTCTTCGTTAACTTTTGACTTTCTCCTTAAAATGGATACAGAGCAGATGGACATGAGTTATTGGGACATGACATGGCGAGAATACAATGAAGACAACAACACGTCTCGCTTCTGCGAGACACACCCTTACATAGTAAATTCGCACGGGATATGGGAAGTTTTGACTTACAAGAGAGGGATGAAATTCTGGGAATATCCGCTCCCGAATCTTGAGATCTTAATCTTTTCTACTTTTTTTATATGGCGGCTTCTCGACATCTCATTCAACAGAATTGGTCTTCGAGTACCTAGATTCACCTATATGATGATCGTGAGTTTTCTTAACCTCCCTCTTCCCTCCACGTTTTAAATTTTAAAATCAGTACGGTGCATATTTCTAAATGTTGTAATGTCTTGTTGTTGAAGGCAGGGATAATCTTAGGTCAAACTTGCCATGTAAGCAACAAGTCTTGGCTCCATAACATTTTTTTCCCTGATGATAACCGACCAAAGGTCGCCGAGACGCTAGGGGCTTTCGGCTTCGTTTTATATTGGTTCCTCAAAGGTGTGACCATGGATGCCGAATTGCCATTTAAGACGGAGAAAAGGTCTAGTGTGATCGGATTCATTACAGTATTTATACCCTTGATTTGTGGCAGCCTCACATTTAGATGGAGAGAACGAAGAGGGAACATAAGCTTGTTAAGGACGGAGTACAGGTTGATCATATTCTTGCAAAGCATATCCGCGTTCACGAGCATTGACACACTCTTAAAAGACCTCCAGATCAAACACTCAGAGTTTGGGCGGATAGCCCTCTCTGGGGCTATGGTGACTGACATGTTGGCTTTTGTTGTAACATTTTTCAATGCAATCTACTGGGAAGGATTTTACGGCTTTATGCAAACCATAGGTTTCTGCCTCTTTGTCGTCGTTATGATCTTCGTTGTGAGGCCAACTATGTATTGGGTGATCAAGCAGACTCCAGAAGGGAGGCCGGTCAAGGATTTCTACCTCTACTCGATTTTTGGGCTTGCTTTCGCCTCCTTCACCTTTTTTGACAAGGCTATTCATCTTTTTGGACCTGCGGGATCATTTGTTTTTGGCTTGACTGTTCCGAATGGATATCCATTAGGTGCTACTTTGGTTCAAAAGTTTGAGAGCTTTAATCTTGGAGCTATCTTGCCACTCTTTGGATCATTAACCATGATGCAAGTAGATCTCTTATGGTTGGTCAAAGAGAGTGGAAATTTCATACGGATGGAGGGTCAAATCTATGAGGTCATTTCCTTTATTCTTTTGGTGAATACAGTAAAATTCGTTGTTACCACCATAGCCGCGTATGCTTTTAAAATGCCCTTGAGAGACTCTTTTGCTTTAGCCCTTGTGCTTAGTAATAAGGGGATCTTCGAGCTCGCCTACTACACGTTCGCGGTTGAAATAAAGGTGCGTACAGTTAACTCTATATATTTAAAATTGAAGACTAATTATTAGTTTATTGTCATAAAACTTATTAAAATATTTGGATATCTTTCACAGCTAATAAGGCCAGAGGTTTTCACAATCCTAGCAGCCTTCTCCCTCTTGAATTCTATCTTTATACCAATGCTCTTGGAGCTCGTGCATGACCCAACCAAAAGATTCAAATGCTACCGAAAAAGGAATTTGGGCATCTTGAAAGACGGTGCGGCTCTCCAATGTCTTATGTGCGTCTACAAACCTGATCACATAACTTCCATGATCGACCTTTTGGAAACATTTAACCCATCACAAGATTCTCCAATGGCGTGTAACACACTTCACCTTGTCGAACTTGTGGGTCAAGCCAATCCTATGTTCATTTCCCACCAGTTGCAACAACCAGAGCCCGGAAGTACTTCTCTTTCCGACAATGTCATAATCTCCTTCCGTCGCTTCCAAAGACAATTCTTTGAATTTACATCGTTGGATATTTTTACTTCCGTCTCCTTGTCCCAACACATGCATGAGGACATTTGTTGGCTAGCCCTATCCAGAAGCCTATCTCTGATTGTGCTTCCTTTCCACCGAACCTGGTCCGTTGATCGATCCACGATTATCTCCAACGATGATAAGCTGAGAGTGCTCAACCTTAACGTCCTGAGACGTGCCCCATGCTCTGTTGCAATCTTCATCTATCGCAAGCCCATCGTCGAATCTCATATGATTAATTCCCACAGCAAGGTAGTGATCATAACCGAATATTTAACACTTTTCATTTTCTTTTTTTTATTTCAAACACCAATTAATCCGTTTGAATATGTGAAAAATATAAGTTTCAGAATTTTATAAAATTTCAGAAAATATTTTAGCAACGTCTAAATGAAGTGAAATGCTGAAAGAAAATGGAAAATGATATTTTCATTTGTGTTTGTAGTATTGTATATAACTTAATAAAACTAATTCCATCTCTGCAGATATGTTTGATTTTTAACGGTGGAAAAGACGATACAGAAGCTTTGGCGATAACAAATCGAATGAGACTGACAGACAAACGAACAAGGCTAACGATCATAAGATTCATTCCAAAATCTTCTGAAATGGATAACCATGAGTGGGAACAGCAGCAATCGATTAACCTAAAGGAGTCCGTGACTAACCTCATTGGCTCCAACATCAAACAAAATGATGAGAAGGTGACATATATCGATAAGGCGGTTTCTGATGGATCTGAGACCTCAAGAATCTTACGAGCAATGGCAAATGATTATGACTTGTTTATCGTTGGAAGAGACAGCGGAATAGGTACTGAGGCAACTAGCGGAATTAGTGAATGGACAGAGTTCGATGAATTGGGACCCATTGGAGATTTATTAGCATCACATGAATATCCTTCGAGTGCATCAGTGTTGGTTGTACAAAAACAAGTGTACATTCATCATACAAAAAGCCAAAAAAGAATATCTTTCTAAGAAATAATGTGAGATATGTTCAATGCTCAGCTGTTCAATGTTGTATTTCTCTACATCAAAAAGATTAGTTTAGGCTGCGTGAAGTTGTGGAGTAAAATAAATTCGAGTTTTTTCTGCATATGATGATAAAGTACTTCACGATTTTGATCGAATATTGAGTTAACAAAATTAGAGTACTTTCCTATGGCGAGCCTGCTGCATGATCACCTTCCAATTATAGCTGCCTTTGTTATCACAATTCAAAAATATATTCTCTTACAGTAAATGCATCCTTGATTTGAGAGTTTTAATTTTGGATAGAAGAATGTTCAAAAAAAAAAAAAAAGCAACCAAAGCAATAAATATATATGGGCCTGATTGGCAATTGTTTTAGAGTCTTTACAAAGCAAAAAAATTTCTAAGCATTGAAATATATCCAATCACGCTTTAGAAGCTTTGGTTTTTTTTTTTTTTTTCTCACAGCCAAAATATTTTCATAATTAATTTTTTTGGCTGTATAAAACTTTTTTTTCTAAAGGATACAATTTTCAACTTTTCAAAATTTTAAATTCTACAGCAAAAATATTACATCACTAAAATCTACAGTCACATCCAAAACATCTACAGCGTAAAATCTACAGTAAAAAATCTACAACTAATGCCGGAACCAATCAGGCACATACTATATTCTCTTGTTGTAATAACATGGTCTGTTTAACACACTTTATCACGTTATATTAAGATCCTCTTTATTAATAATGGCTAAAGAGGCATTTTATTTTAAAGTAATACAGCTTACAAACGCCAAAAACAAAGATAACACCTGGACCAGACAATCCCTATATTTATATCCTTATGCTAATTTTAGAGATATTTTGGGATCTGTGTGAAACCATTTGACCGGTTTTAATTCTAGTTCTTCCTTTGACTGCAAAACCTTTTCATCAAGATTTTTTGTTGTTTTTGGTTTTACGTAGACAAGATTTGTCCCAAATGGATGCAGAAAATGCGACTTGGCGCAAAGAGCTCATGTGGGACGACGATGGGAAAAGAGCAGAGATGGGGACGAAGATGTTTTGCGATGTAAGTCCACATATAATGTTGAACTCACATGGCGTTTCAGAGAAAATGGATTCTGGATATAAGGGAATGGAATTTTGGGAGTACCCTCTTCCACAATTGGAGATCATAATTCTCTCCATATTCCTATTATGGCGCTTATTTGATATGTTGTTCAAGAAGTTAGGTGTTCCTATCCCCAAGTTCACCTCCATGATGCTTGTACGTAATTACGGGTTTCAAATATCAACATTTCCTTGGCGATGTTCGAAGAATATAACACAAATTTTCTCTTGTTCTTGAAGGTTGGGGCAGTCTTAAATGAGGTGTTTGGATCGATGCAAATATCATGTTTTAAGCATATATTTATCCATGATAACAAGTATATGCCAAAGGTTGCTGATACTATAGGTGCATTTGCTTTTGTCCTAGATTGGTTCCTAAGAGGAGTGACTACGGATGTTGGAATAATCAAAAAGTCAGGAACTAAGAGTGTTGTAATTGGAATCACCTCAATGATCATCCCATGGCAAATAGGAAAACTCCTTTATTCATCTAGAGAGAAATCAAGTATCCTGACCATGACAGAAAACGAGTATAACGTAATGACATTCACCATGAGCATGACGCCTTTCACGTGCGTCAACATGTTGCTTACTGACCTCAAGATAGTTCACACTGATTTCGGCCAAATAGCTCAGTCATCGGGAATGGTAACCGATGTGCTTGCCTTTTTCTTGACTGTATGGGCTTACATTAGCCGTGATGAAACTCAAGGAGTGAAGATGGGATTTGCTTTTATGGCATTCTTCATTTTTGTGTACCTTGTGCGACAATTTATGCTGTGGGTAATCAGACATACCCCAGAGGGAGCGCCAGTGAAGAACATCTATCTCTACATTGGTCTCTTGCTGGCTTACTTATCTTATCTTTACTGGAACCGCTTCTTATTCTTCGGACCGCTGGGGGCATTTGTTCTTGGTTTGGCTGTCCCTAACGGACCGCCTTTAGGATCGGTATTTATACAAAAATTCGATAGCTTCAATGAGGGCATTTTTTTACCCCTCTTTGGCTCACTTAGCATGATTAAACTAGATTGGTCATTTCTACGGAAGGAGTTTGGAGATGAGTTTGGAGATGGAAAACATCTCCATGGACATATGTACGAGTGTTTTTCATTCCTTCCCATCGTATACATAGCGAAATTCGGTACTTCGTTTTTAGCCGCCATAGCTACAAAGATACCTTTGAGAGACTCAATTATCCTAGCTGTCATTATGGGCACCAAGAGTAGTTTTGAGTTGGCTTACGTACTCACAGCCTTCGAAAAATACGTAAGAACATTTTTGCTATAGTCATATAACTTAATTTGTATATCTTTGTTATAATGTTTTTCATTCTTTAACAGAGGATTAGTCTGGAGGTTTTGTCGCTCCTGGGCGTATACATTCTCGTAAACTCTTTGTTAACACCAATGGCTATACATTTCTTGTATGACCGGTCTAAAAGATTTGTGTGTTACGGAAGAAGAAACTTGAAACAGAAGTCAGAACTGCAAACGCTGGTGTGCATCAACAAGCCTGACAACATAACATCGATGATTAGCCTTCTCAGAGCAACTTCCCCATCTAAAGACTCTCCAATGGAGTGTTGTGTTCTGCACCTAATAGAGTTACAAGGTCAAGCTACTCCCACGTTTATCTCCCACCAGCTTCAGAAACCAAAGCCTGGAAGTCGGTCTTACTCCGAAAATGTCATAAGCTCTTTCCAACTGTTTCAAGAGATTTATTGCGACTCCGCTTCCATAAACATGTTCACGTCTTTAACTTCCGCTAAAGAGATGCATGAACACATATGTTGGTTTGCTCTTAGTCAAGGTTCAAATCTTATTCTCCTCTCGTTTCACCGCACTTGGGGGCCTGACGGAAGTGTCGTTATCTCAGACGATCAAACCCTAAGAACCCTTAATCGTAATGTTCTGAAACGAGCCCCTTGTTCTGTCGGAATCTTCGTTTATCGCAAACCAATTTGGCAAACCAAAGCCCTAGAATCTCCATGCCGTGTAAGTAACTCTACATTTTTTTTTTAATAACCAAAAAGTTTCAGATTATATTTGTTCATTCTAAATGTTGAATATTATTGATTGTCACATATTGAATGCAGGTGTGCTTGATTTATGTGGGTGGGAATGACGACAAAGAGGCCTTGGCATTAGCTGACCACATGAGAGGTAACCAACAAGTGATTCTAACGGTGATGCGTTTGATCCCTGCGTCTCATGCCGATGATATTAGCAAGAGGATTCATAGTCAAATGGTAGACATGAACCGTCATGAAGATAGGCCTCGAGATGACTCAATCATCATTGATTGGACGGTGGGGGATGGTACAGAGACTTCCAAGATTTTGCACTCCGTGGCTTACGACTATGATCTATTTATAGTCGGTAGAAGAAGTGGGTTTGGTACTACAGTCACTAGAGGACTCGGGGATTGGATGGAATTCGAAGAACTTGGAATCATTGGAGATTTGTTAGCATCTGAATATTTTCCTTCTAGAGCCTCCGTGTTGATCGTGCAACAACAAGAATGAAAAGCATTTCTCAGCTTTAGTTTTTATCTTTTTTAAAGTTGAGGAACTCTGTAAACAGACCCCACGCGCCCAATTTTTCAAATTTTACAAAAACAGCAATTTCTGCATGTTTTGGTCCAGGGATTTCGGAGAGGTGGCGTTGACGCGCTCGTTGTGAGAGTGGGTAAGATAGTTGAATTTCGCAGTTCGACAACCAACCACGCGCGCCACGTTTGGGCTGACTTTATACTGTCCATTATAGACCCACATAAGTTTAAAAGGCCCAATAACAAAAATTAAAAATTAGGGCACAATGTATGAATATCCATTAGTGATAGCATTTGATGTAATTTATCATTCGTAGTTCTTTCACGAAGTTTTAAAATGTTATATTTGCAGAAACCTTTGAAATAATCATCACAATTTGTCCAAATTTGAAGTTGTAGAAAGAAATTTTTTTGATCATTCGGATCTATTAAAGATTTGGACTAAACCCTAATTACAGGTAAGAACCCTGGATAAAATCGTGGTCTTTCGGCAAATCCGAACCATCAGTGTCCTTAAGATATAGTAGCCCGCTTCTTCAGCTGGTCCTAATTTGCCCCAACATTAAGGAGAGAGTGGCGGGTGAAAATTCTGCCGCCAATATTATATCACCTATATCTTCAAGGTTGCAACACTTGTCCTTCCCTAAAGCCCTAATCTCAAAATCGACTGATGTTAGCGATTCGATCGTCGAATTACCTCCGATGCTTACCTTCTCTCTGTACTAAAACCCAAATCTCTCAATTCTCCTCCGTGTTACTGTCTTTTAGCCGCCAAGTTTCCCACTTGCGCCTTAGCTCGTGCCATAGAGCCATGTCTTCTTCCCGCCCTTCTGCATTTGACGCTCTCATGTCCAATGCTCGTGCAGCCGCCAAGAAGAAGACGCCCCAGACCACTACATCGTCTCGCTCTCCGAATAAAAGGAAAATTGGGGAAACCCAAGATGCTAATTTGGGCAAAACCCTTGTTTCCGAAGGTACACTTCCAAAAACGGAGGATCCGGTGGAGCCTATTTCTGATTCTGCAAAACCCAGATCGGATACGTCGTCAATTGCGGAAGACTCAAAGACCGGAACGAAAAAGGCTAGGACTTTGAGCAAGACGGATAAAATTGACGAAATGAAGAGCAAAATTGGATTGTTGAAGAAAAAGCCTAATGATTTCGATCCTGAAAAAGTGTCTTGCTGGGAGAAAGGCGAGAGAGTTCCGTTTCTGTTTCTCGCATTGGCTTTTGATCTGATTTCAAATGAAAGTGGCCGGATTGTGATTACTGATATTCTGTGTAACATGTTGAGAACCGTTATTGCCACCACTCCTGAGGATTTGGTTGCTACTGTTTATCTTGCGGCAAATGAGATTGCCCCTGCTCATGAAGGTGTAGAATTGGGAATTGGTGAGGGTACAATTATCAAGGCTATCTCTGAAGCTTTTGGTAGAACTGAGGATCATGTTAAGAAGCAGAATACGGTATGTTGACTTATATAATTCAATGAGCTTGTCTGGTGTGGAATGTGGTTGCTATTGGGTTTTTGAATAAGAAAATTGTTAGCAGTTCTGAAATCGAACCCGATTTTTAGGAACTGGGAGACTTGGGGCTTGTTGCAAAAGGAAGCCGTTCAACTCAGACTATGATGTTCAAGCCCGAACCATTGACTGTTGTCAAGGTGTTCGATACGTTTCGACAAATTGCTAAGGTAATTAAAACCTTCTGGCTTTTGAATGCTTGAAATTTTGGTTATGCTTTTAATTGAGATTCAATCAACCTTTTTCTTGTCTGACTGCATATAAGATGAGTGGGACTATTGCATGTTAACTATTGCAGGAAAGTGGAAAAGATAGCAATGAAAAGAAGAAGAATCGAATGAAGGCACTTCTTGTCGCAACAACAGACTGTGAACCACTTTACTTAACACGTTTACTTCAGGTATGCATCAATGCCACGTTTTTTTTTTCTGCTCATTCGTTTGGGTTTCTTATTCCGCCCTTCTTAATTTACCTTGCAGGCAAAATTGCGGTTAGGGTTCTCAGGTCAGACTGTCTTAGCTGCCTTGGGACAAGCTGCTGTATATAATGAAGAGCACTCAAAGCCACCCCCAAATACCAAGTCTCCTTTAGAAGAGGTCTGCTTTCTCTTTTAGTTTTTGTATCTCCCACTTTTATATCAGAATCCATTCTTACTGAGTTCTGTAAGTAAATATATATTGTCTGAGCTACCATAAGGATGTTATGTGTGGCTGTAGGATCTCTATGTAGAATTCTTGGAGAAACGTCACAATTTACCTCTTATGCATTTTTGTAATGTTATGTCACTACACTTCTTTCCTGGATCCATCCTTCTTCTCTGACTTTGTAGGCTGCGAAGATTGTTAAACAAGTATTTACGGTACTTCCTGTCTATGACATTATTGTTCCTGCTCTTCTAACCGGTGGAGTGTGGAATCTTCCAAAAACTTGTAACTTTACATTGGGTGTTCCAATTGGACCCATGCTTGCAAAACCAACCAAAGGTGTAGCAGAGATACTGAATAAATTCCAGGACATCGTTTTCACATGCGAATACAAATATGATGGGGAACGTGCACAGGTGATATATTGGTGTCTACTGAATTAGGATGAATGCTATTCCTAGATCTGATCTGAGTTATTTAAGTATGGTTTGGCTTATCATTAATCAATTTCTGCAGATACATTTTTTGGAAGATGGTACATTTGAGATATATAGTCGAAATGCTGAAAGAAACACTGGGAAGTACCCGGATGTTGCTCTTGCATTATCAAGGTAAACATCTGGTGTATCTGGTTGAAAATGAAAACATTAGCGAACCAATCTTTCTACTAAAGTTAGTGAATCATCTCTATGCAGATTAAAGAAGCCCTCTGTGAAATCTTTTATTCTGGATTGTGAGGTTGTTGCTTTCGACAGGGAGAAAAAGAAAATTCTTCCGTTCCAGGTAACTCATAAGTGAATAGCGAGGTTCTGATATTCAAGTATGGTTGGTTGCAGCCTTATATTCTGTCTATTCATTTAAGACATTTTATTTTATAGAAATGCCACAGAAATGTTAATGTGTTCTGGTTTCCATCTTATTAGCCAGTGAATTAACAAAATAAGAATAGCTATAATGCTCTTTATATCAGATTTTTCAGTTTTGACACTGTCTAACCAATACTTTTGCCAACATTACTGAACAAACCTTGTTACACATGGATATTTGATGGCACTTTTCGCAGATAGTTTTGGTGATTCACCTTATTTCTGCTTCTGATCATACTTAAGTTTAGTGTTGGTGTGAAGAGGATAGTTGAAACTTGAAATATATCAATTGGTATTGTTAACCTGGATTGATTTACATTACTTGAAGCTATAGCTACTTTAACAATTTGACTTGATGTCTAGGTTTTTTTTTCTTTCTTTTTTTTTTTTTTCAGATTTTGAGCACTCGAGCCCGTAAAAATGTGAATGTCAATGATATCAAGGTTGGCGTATGCATCTTTGCTTTTGACATGTTATATCTAAATGGCCAACAACTTATCCAAGAGAATCTTAATATTCGCCGAGAGGTGAGCAATATCAGTAAATCATTATAATATTTTGTTTTTCTTTGGTTTCAGTCAAGTAATTGTTGTGCAAATATGTAATCATTTGTGTACACCTTGCTTCTAGCAGAAGCTATACGAATCATTTGAAGAAGATCCTGGGTATTTCCAGTTTGCAACTGCTCTAACATCTAGCGATATCGATGAAATCCAGAAGTTTCTTGACGCTTCTGTTGATGTTGGGTATATATCTTGACAGTTCTCTGTATCTCTATCAAGTGCAGTAAACGTTGGTGTAAATTGTTGCATAGCATTTTCTCTTTTGTAGCATATTAGAGATTTTGGTAGATATTTACTGCTTTCGGGTATTTTTAATTTAGAGATTTTATCTTTTACATGTTCAAGGGTATGAAATTTGACCATACTCGTAGTAATTGTTGTCTAGCATCTTCTCTTTAGTAGCATCTTTCACCTTGATCTGCGTTCACGTTAAATTAGAGATTCTGGTAGATATTTCACTCATTTCGGCTATTCTTTTTTAAGTAGTTGTCCACTTATCTGATATCTGTTTAAGGATATGCTAAATTAACCATGCTTGTAGTGATATATGATATGACATTGACCTCTGCCTCATTATCCCTATGCTGTTTCAAATTTTCATCATGTGTCTTCTGGGTGAATATAACATTTTTAGCAATTTGACCCACGCTTGTTGTGATTTCTTTACACTCCTATGTCTATTACATCGGCCTTTGCCTTGTTATCTCTATGCTGTTCCAGTTCATCTATATATTTTATTTTGCAGCTGTGAAGGTTTAATCATTAAAACATTGAACTCGGATGCTACCTATGAGCCTGCCAAGCGATCGAATAATTGGCTAAAACTGAAGAAAGACTATATGGACAGGCAATACTCTCTTAAACATTTTTCTTAAAATATTTTAGATCAAACAGTTTTTTCCTGACTCTAGGTTACATATGCAGCATTGGGGACTCAATGGATCTTGTACCAATTGCTGCTTTCCATGGACGTGGCAAACGCACAGGTGAAAGCCATTAAAATATATTGGGTGATACATTCTTCAACCTTTATGCTCTTAACAAAGCTATATCATTTCCTTCTAGGTGTCTATGGTGCATTTTTACTCGCTTGCTATGATGTTGATAAGGAAGAGTTTCAGAGCATTTGTAAAATCGGTCAGTCCAATACATAAATTCACCTTGGCATTTCATATTTTGTATGTGCTGTGTTCACTTTCTCAAGTTTCTTATACCTTGGTTTTACGGTTTGGGCTACTAGGTACTGGATTTTCTGATGCCATGCTTGACGAACGGTCGTCCAGTCTTCGCTCTCAAGTGATTGCTACTCCAAAAGTAGGATATTCCCTTCTTCTCTATGGCCTCCTTTTGCTGCAATATCATATATGTCGCTAGCCTGAATTCCTGTTAATTGTAATGATTCAAATATCCAGCAATACTACCGAGTTGGAGACAGCCTCAATCCAGATGTTTGGTTTGAGCCCACTGAGGTAGGATTATGTTTGCTTGTACTCAAAATGTTTTTATATTTAATTGTTTCGACATTCTATCTTATGGGTTAAAAGGAAAGTTAAAATAATATGCTTGCTTAAAGGTCTGGGAAGTGAAAGCAGCTGACTTGACAATTAGCCCTGTGCACCGTGCAGCTACCGGCATTGTGGATCCTGATAAGGTTTTACCATTCTCTGACTTGTTTTCTTCTTTGTCCTTTTTGGTTTAAATATATCTGCTGAAATATTGTTTCTTAGAAACTTGAGCTATTTGATTTATGTTTGAGCTGACTGGGAAATTGTTACCTATTGACTTTCAATTTTGTTTCGTTAAAAGGGAATTTCTCTTCGTTTTCCTCGTCTACTTCGTGTACGGGAAGACAAAAAGCCAGAGGATGCAACATCATCTGAGCAGGTGAAGTTTCCATCCTAGTTACACTCATTTGTTTTCAATACTGGAAAGACAAGAGCAGGCTGGTTTCGAAACTCTTTCATCTTTTCTAATTTTCAATTTCCCTGCACATTTTCAGATTGCTGATATGTACCAAGCTCAGAAACACAATCATCCAAGTAATGAAGTCAAAGGTGACGACGATTGAACAACTGTAATCTGGTCTCAGAGCATATTTCCTCGTATGTACGACATTGATGCGTGTTTGAGTTTTCGACTGTATCTGCTGGTGTAAAACTGTTTTTAGGAAAAGTTAATGAGAGGTTCTGGAAAAAAAATCCCTACACTCATCACAACTGCCCTGGTTATATCACTGAGCTGTCTATGATTGGCAGAAATGTGGAATATGTTTACAGTAGAAACAGGATACTTGAAGCAAGATAACTACATCATTGGCTTCGGCGTTTAATAATTTTCAGCGGAAGACGGGCCTCTGGGATGTAGTCTCTCTTGGCGAAGTAGACTCATTGCGGTGAATCATCTTTCTTCCTACATCCTGTTGTTGCAGTATCTGTCATGACAAGCAGAATTTGAAAGGAGAGCTGAGGAGGACTGGTGCTGCCACTGTGGAAGCGGCCCTGCCTTCAACAGAGCGGCCTTGAATACGGCTGCCCTCTGAGGAAACGCCAGTTCAATGATGCTTGAAATCTTCCTTGGCTGGTATTGAAAGATCAAATCTGCAGTACCTCTTATCTGTCTATTCAATGGCTTTAAATTCAGGAGATCACTCAGCTGACTTTTCTGGTTATACCTCCTGAAGGTTATCTCTTCCTCGGCAAAGAGACAGAATCATGTAAATAAATCATAATAATCTAAATAAAATGAAAAAATGGATGTAAATATATATTAGGTGGGTCTAAACATTAGACTTTAAAATCAGTAAGGGTAATAGGTCCACAAATTACACATTAATTGGATTTGGGCCGAGCGTAAAAAGCGATACCTCAACAGGCTTAAACCTCTTGGTGACGCAGAGGTTTTACACGTTGTTTTCCTTCTTGTCTGAACTGAAACTGAAACGCCTTTACGAAAATTCTCCCTGAACCGATAAATCGCAGTCGTTTGTGTTATCGGGGTAAGAACAAATGGATCCCGACAGGTATTCCACTTTATCTATCCACTAACATTTGGCTTATGATCTGATTATCATTATATCAGACAATTTTTTAGTTATAAGCTCTGCGCCAACAAATACGAAAATGGTCTTTGGTTACGGAACAATCATATTAGCTTATAGAAGCTTTAACTGGCTTCTTTGGTGGTTGTTATCTTGAAACATTATTGTCAAGTCTCTGTCTTTCGTTAGTAGGCTAATCGAGATCTTTGCTGTTTCTGGTAGAATCCCTTGTAGATTCATTTCAGCATTAAGTTTACATTTTTCTGAAATGTTTGAGCCAAAGTTTTGGTTTTCAAATTGAGTAGTTGAGATTAAATTTGACACTTTTGCTATCTTTTAAAGGTTAAATTCTCCAAGCACCTGTACTGTCACCATTGAGGTTTTGGGGCACGAATTAAACTTTGCTCAGGTATGTCTGACTCTTATATTCCTTACAATTTTTACATTCAACTTAATTCCTATAGTTGTATGCTCACCTTTTCAATGTCTTAGACCTTTGTTCTTGTGTTTTACTTTTGTTCATCTATTTCACATGTTCTGTACTTCTAACAATGTGTCATGATGCCACAATTCTACATGATAGGATCCTAATTCGAAGCATTTAGGAACAACCGTGTGGGATGCGTCCATGGTGTTTGCCAAGTATCTGGTATGATCTTTCTTATCCCGCTTGAATTCATAGATTATCCTCAGAGATTAACTTCTTGGAGTGTGTAATGTAGATTGGTAACTAGGGGATCACTTAAATATTCTTCTTCGGTGAGACTCTAATAGGTTTTGAGCCAGTTAACCCCTTCTGATTCTATTTACCAAAGAACTACAACATAGAAGAGACTTGATTAACTAGGAAAGTTTCTAACTCTTGACCAATGCCAAAACCAAGATCCTAGACCAATACAGAATGATATTAATGCATTCTCCTCGCCCCTTTAACCCTTTTGCTCTCAACTAACCCGTTTAAGGTCTATTGTTGAGCTGGCAAAGCTAGACTTCCTGCTCAACCCCTAGGTTAGTTACAATAGCCTTGTCTGACTTCCTGAATATTTACAGGGGAAAAATTGCAGGAAGGGAAGGTTTAGTCCATCTAAACTGAAAGGGAAACGTGCTATTGAACTAGGAGCAGGTTGTGGCGTTGCAGGATTTGGTACGTAATTACATGTATGTATTGATATCTGGAGGATTCTCCTTTCTTATGTATGGCTATATCTTTGCTCGAAACTGGAAATTTTTTTTTCTTTGAAACTGGAAATTTGGCATCTACAATTGGAGTTTGTGTTCATGTGTCAGCTTTGGCAATGCTGGGGTGTGATGTGGTTACAACTGACCAAAAGGAGGTATTACCACTACTAAAGAGGAATGTAGAATGGAATACGTCCACAATCTTGCAGATGACGCCTGGTTCAGGTTTGTGTCAATACTGTCTTCTCCAAGTAGCCAGCTCGCTTCTTTTACTGCTTGAGTCTGTGGTATCTATAGCTTTCTTCATTTTGTTATGCCAAGTAAAATCTGTAGAACTAACTCGCAATGTGAAGCTTACTTTATCAGCTACAATTGAGTTGTTATAATTATTGTCTAATGAAGTTGTCATTCCTTGTAGCATCCTTTGGATCGCTCCGAGTTGCAGAACTTGACTGGGGAAATGAAGATCATATAAGGGCTGTTGGGCCGCCCTTTGACTATGTCATCGGTACTGATGTTGTAAGTTAATCGGAATCTTCAAATGATTCACTCTAATTGAATAATTTAGTAAGACTGATTTCATCCCAAGGTAGACTGACCTCACCTTAAATTTTTTTTTAGGTATATTCTGAGCAGCTTCTGGAACCTCTATTGCGTACGATACTTGCGCTATCAGGGCCAAAGACAACAGTTATGGTATGAATTAAGATACTTGGGATATTTGATTTAAAATATCATTAAACTACAAGATCATTCGCTGTTGTTGTTTTATAGTTGGGATATGAGATACGTTCGACTGTTGTTCATGATAAAATGCTTCAAATGTGGAAAGACAACTTTGAAGTCAAAACCATACCGAGGTCCAAGGTACATTGATGCCACAGTCACTGTTAAAGTTTCATGAACTATGCACCCGCTTATTCTGTAACAAAATCTGCAGATGGATGGTGAATACCAAGACCCGAGCATTCATCTGTACATCATGGCACAGAAATCTCCTGCCGAGAGCTCTGGAAACGTGAGCCGAGATGAAATTGTTATTGACACAGACGAAACAAAGTGTAAGACGAAAGTCCCAACTGGAGAATGCCAGAACAGGGTGGAAGAGGAAGCTGTTGTTACACATGGTCCTCGTCTAAATGAAGATAGTTTGTTGATGAGACTACGGGACGGAAAGCTAAGTGAATGGGAGATGAGAAGGTATGGTACAGTTGCTGCACAGCTTCTCCGTGACGTTAAGATAGATGTTAAGGTGCGTATATACCATTGTTGTTATGAAATCTTTTCTTATATAAAAAATAATTCTTGTGTAAATTTTCTTTGAATTTGCTTGTAGGTGAAAAAATAACTTTGCATTACCGACTTTCAGAGCCTTGTTCCTCAAGATCCACCTCTTTGATTTTTTTTAGTTTTGGTACCAGGGAGAATGTAGACAATGAATTAATCTTGTAGATTTCTTTCTATTAAATATTAATGATTTAGCTGGAGAAATTGTCTCCTGAGTCCCTTTTTGTCCAAGCATCGTCTCATATCTCCCCTAATAAAACACAATTTTATTTTTATTTAAAATTAAATCGAAAACTATGGATATTACTGATATACCCCAACCAAAACCTCAATATTACTGCTAAAACCTGGATCTATTCGAACCAAACCCGATCCATTCTCTCAACCCACCAAATTTCTTTTGTTTTTGAAATCGAAAACGAGAAAACTCATCCCCAATTCAAAGAGAAAACCCTAACCGTTGGAGATTCTCTTGCTCCGACTTCCTCTCCTCTTCAAATCTTCCCAGAAACTGTAGTTGAGAGATTGCGAAATCATCTTCCAACTTTATTGATTCCTTTTCTCGTTTCTTGTATCCCGTTTCGAAACCTCTCCGATAATGCCTCCAAAGAAAGGGTTAAAGAGGAAGAGATTAACAAAGGCAACGACGGTGGAGCCAGGCTCGACGGAGGAGCCATCCCCGACGGTGGAGCCATCCACCACAACGACGGTGGAGCCAGGCTCGACGGAGGAGCCATCCTCGACGGCAATTGAGGGAGAACAACAAGTCCCGGAGACATTAAGTCCGGTTTTAGAAGAGTCTGACAAGAATGAGGAAGAAAATTCAAAGAAGAATGAGGAAGAAGAGAGTGGCGAAGAAGAGAGCGAAGAAGAAGAGAAAGAAGAAGAAGGGAATGAGGAAGGAGAGGAGTCCTCCGATGATGATGGTAGTAGATCTTTGGGCGGAGAGTCCTCCTCTGATGAGAATGATAATGAGGAGGATGAGATTGCGCCAGAAAATCAGCCGGAAAATGCGATGGTAAGTATTTGAATGGTGTGAAACTGGTAGAACAGGGTAAAACTATGTGTACATCTGGGTACTACTGGTAGAACAGGGTAACACTATTGCAACTGAGGTATAATGTGTGTTTGAATTCTATGGTTATTGGTATAACTGGTAGAACTGGGAATACTATGTGTTTGAATTCAGGGTATAACTGGTAATACTAGGACATTACTATATGTTTGATTTCTGGGTAATACTGGTATTACTAGGGTATAACTATGTGTTTGAATTCTGGGTGAAACTGGTATTACTGGGGTACAACTATGTGTATATTTTCAGGGTAATACTGGTAATACTCGTAATACTATTCGCAGAATAATGATATATGGATGAATGTCTGTTCTGTTGCAGGAGATCGATGAGGAAACAATAGCAATACCACCGCTAAGTATGTATTTCCCGCCTTCAGAATATGTGAAGAAAATCAAGCTATCAACTCGGTGCTATATTCACGAAGTGTTGACTACATTCGATGAGTTGGAGCCTCCGATGAGCAAGTCTGAGAGGGCATTTTTTGAGAATCATCCGAGTTTTCAACACGTCTTCCACATGCCAAGAGACCCAAACCACCGACTTATGGGGATGTGGATGCTCCTTCTTAGCACGGCGCGAATTGATAGGAAGAAAGAGGTGTGGTTCGTCGTCAATGGCGTTCCAATCCGATATGGTATATCGGAACATGCATTGATATCGGGCTTCAATTGCAAGAATTATGCGCTTGATTATAAAAATGTGGGAAGTATGGAGTTCAAGAGGAAGCATTTCAAGAATGTTCCTGTGAAACGCGAAGACGTGAGAAAGAAGCTCATAGAAATGGTGCCGAAGGGTGAAAGATCAAAAGATAGGTTGAGGATGATGGTGCTCTATTTCCTAACCAGCATTATTGTGGCGCCTATCAAGACCGGGGAAAAGGCACCTCAAGTGGATGAATTTTGTTTAAAGGTTGTGAATGATCTTACGTTTTGTAGGAATTTTCAGTGGGGGAGGTATTCTTTCGAGTACATGTTAGATACCATCTCACACACGATGAATCATTTCAATGGTGTTGTCACCGATAACGAGAAGTACATATGGCCGGTTCCGGGTTTTTGTCTTCCGATAGAGGTTAGTTACAAGTTATAGTAATTGGTGATTTTTTGGAATACTGGTAATACTGGGAATACTGCATATTAGAAAACTGGTAATACTGCATATTAGAAAACTGGTAATACTGGTATTACTGTTCTTCATCTAAATATATGTTTTTTTATTCTGTAGCTTCTTGCATTCGAGGCAATCCCACTGTTGAGGGAGAAATTCATTGAGGACATTGCAGGAGCAGATGAGAGATGTCCTAGGATGTGCAAGGTGAAACCATCCCCAACTAGCATCATTCTCACTGTCGAGTACGCCAACCGCTATGATATAATGATGACGATTTGGGTCTTGAGCTGAGGCAAATACTAGAACACCACCATATCCGTTCTTCAAATGTGTTGCATCAACAATTATCACTTTTCTCATCACTTGAAAGCCTTCAATGCTAGCACCCAAAGCTATGAATAGGTACTGAAATTTATCTTCCTCATCCAATTTCAGATATGTTATTGTACCTTCATTTACCTTCTTCAACATGTACAAATAACAATTGATATCCTTGTAGCTATCTTCCGCGCTACCTTTTAAATCACAAATGGCTTTCCTTTTCCCTCTCAATGCGGTGGAGTACGATATCTTCACACCTAATTTCGTCTGAACAAGCTCCATGATAACCTTAGGAACTGGAGTTTCCATTTGTCCTGGAAAAGTATCATGAAGAAGAGCTGCTACTAATTCAGGAGTACCTTTCCTCTTCCTCATCCTTGTACTACTCTTACTTATCCGGGTACAAGTATGCATCTTGTTGTACTTTCTAATCGAGTAAATACTTGTATTCCAAATATTTGAAGCTCGTATACGCCAAGCACAATTTTCTTTAGAACACCTTAGGACATATCGCTCCTTATCAGACTTTTTAATAACATAACCAAAACTGTTAGCAAATGCACCTTTGTCCACCACTTCCTGCAATGCCGCCCTGCTTGGAAATTCTTGTCGTAAAATCAGTCCAATACCGTCTTCCCATTCTTTTTTAAACTGACCAGCTTCTACAACAGGCGGTGGCTCAACGTATTCATCACCCCTATCATCACATCTATCCATAGATTCATCACGTGATCCAATCTCAGGATCTTGAGTATCATCAACCTCCATTATTGCCTTATTTGGTACTGTTCCTTGTTCCTCCTCGCATTCACACAAAACGATGGCAGCACTATCTCTCATTTCATCCTCATTTGAATCCAATTCCGCATAGTTCTTACCAACAGAACTTTTATTGAGGAGCTCCACTCTCGACAGTTGCTCGGGCAATTCTGGTGGAGTGATGACGTCCACATTCAAAACATATCTACGGTAATTTTCACCTGAAGATATATAGACACCTACATCCTCATCATCACTAATGTAAATCTCTTCAGTTGGTCCCATCAGCACAGCATTGTATCTCATTTGCAATTTAACCTTACTTTCATCTAATCCAAGCTTCGTGCATATCCTACCTTCTAACATGGAGAGCGTTATTTTCCCCTCCGATGTATTCATCATCAAGCTATACATGCGACCTTTGCATTTAAAATATATGATCACGTTCTCCATCATTGTATCCTGCAAAAACAATACAAAAACTCTGTCAGTTATACTAGTTGTACTAGTTGTACTACAATTCAGGGTAATACTAGTATAACTAGTCATACTACATGTAAATGGGTAATACTAGTGTAACTGGTGATACTACATGTAAATGGGTAATACTAGTGTAACTAGTCATACTACATACATCTAGGTAATACTAATATAACCAGTAATACTACGTATATATTTTTCAATAGATTCAGGTACAATTCTACTCAGTTCTACCAGTTGTACTTTCGCGACAAGAACTCAAATCGAATGGTTTCGGGTTCAAAACTACAATTCACTATGATTCAGTTGCTGTAATCCATTTCTTACCCATTTACAGACCTATTCGACCCAGAAACTATGCATAAACTTCCAATGTGCATATCCAAACACAAATAGCTAAATCTAATTGGATTCAATCTCCTATATGTCTAAATCCTAAACTTCAATTTGAAGCTCTATGCAGCTAAAGGAACATACCTGTCTCAACGAAGCTCGCCGGAAAGGAAGAAACGGCAACAATGGAGACACAGATCTATGGCGGAGGAGGAATCGGAGCTGTCTCGTCGGAGCTCGAGCTCGAGAACGAGGAGAACTTTTTTTTCTTTTTTCTTTTGTTTCGTTTTTTTTTCAATTTCAAATTAATTAAATTGAAAAAAAATAGAAGGGCAAAATCGTCTTCACACATTTGCTTAAATGAGAAAAGGATATGTAGACTAAGTAAGGATATAAGAGGTTTGTGTTTGTCAAAAAGGGACTCACGAGACAATCTCTCGATTTAGCTGTTTGTGCTTCATTTATTACTGAAACCAATTCCATGATAAAATCACAGATTCACAGTTAATTCTTGAGAGTTAGAACGGCCCAAAGTTGGATCTGAACATGAATCATTCTACATCGTAGTAAATAATTGACTTTGGGCCACCAAAGAGACCGGCCCAGTAAAGGATACCTTAATATTAGCGTTTCAGTAAGCGAATACAAAAACGACACGCTGTGCATGTTCAGAAAGCGAATAATACAAAAACAACAGGCTGTGCATGTTTAAGGAGTTAGAACGGTGGAAAGTGTGGAGTTTAGCCGAAAGTCCCACATCGGTTACATGAAACAAAGGAGGGTTCTAAAACTGAGTATAAATAAGAGAGTCATGACTCAGGGAAAATCACTTACCTGGACGGGATCAACTCGCGATCAAGAAGACGAGTGGCCTAGGCTAGTGACTTCCATTGCACATACTGGAAGGGTGCTATGCTTAAGGTCTTCCCTTGAGGAAGAGCCTACGTCATTATTTGTGGCAGAGGGGGTTTGCGTTCGCGCAGCCCCTACCATTTGCTTAAGTCTAAGAATGTTGTTTAATATGACTAACAATAATCTTTCTGAAACTGACTCTCATTACTGATGAACTTGTTTGTTATTAACAACGATAACGACTTATTCAACTTTGCTCATTATACATATGTCAAGAAACAGACCACCTTGATAAACAACGACTATCTTGTTCCGATTATTCGACAAAACAGAAAAATTATTTTATTGTATGCACACACTCGGGTGGATGAGCAAAAGAACACAAATAGCGCAATCACTACTTCCTCAAGCTGCGTTTACAGTAGTCGTCCCGATAGTCTTGAGATCAAAGATCTCGATCCAGTAGCCATCAGGATCCTTAATGAAAGCTATATTCTTCATCTTTCCTGCAAGGTTTACATCAAATAAAGGATTAAATATAGATTCCCCAAACAGAGAGTCGCAAAATATGAAAATTTCAAATGTCTATTGGATTCAGCTGGTAATAGTAGTACCATCGTTTGGTTTCTTGACAAACTCTACTCCCAATTCTTCAAATCTCTCGCATGCCTTGTGCACATCATCAACGGTAACCCCAATGTGCCCTGTGAAAACAACATAGTTTCTTTTTTTACATTTGTAATAATATAGGACTTGCCATAACTCAAGCCTCAATTTTTAGGCTTATAAACTGGTTCATATTGATGCTATACATTCTAGCCACCAAATTTAAAGCTCCCCAAAAACATAACCTACCGAAACACTGTTCAATTACTTCTAAAATGTAGAGAGATAATAAGATAGAGATATTTTAGAAGGACTTTACCAAATCCACGAGGCTCAGAGTTCCCATTGTGATATCCTTTAAACTCAGGATCACTCTCTGTACCCCAGTTGCTGCAAGAAAAATTCATATGTAAGGAACGTTCAATCCAAGAAAAGGAAAGGGAGAAAGTAAGGCATTAGTATTTGTTTCTTACTGAGTCAATTCAATCGTTGCCGGTCGACCAAAGGTCCAAACCGTTCTCTCTGTTGGATCGGCTGGAGCTGTTGTAGTATCCTGTACCATAGTAAACAAATCAAACCCAGCTTTTTTGCAACCCTCCACTAAAATTCTAAAATCAGTAGAATTTAGGACCCAAGAGAAATATATCTATTCATCATTATCATCCACAACAAGAAAAATCAATATTTCAAAAACTGACAATTTAACTCCACTTTTCAATAAGCATTTTAAAACATCAATAGATTGCTTGTTTAGTTTTCAGTGTTCTATATTTTAATGTGCTGAAGCTCGATGCATGAGTTCCTGGAACATAAGTTAGATGCTTTAATCACCTCTAGCTTAGTGAAGAGTATAACTAAGTAAGGGTCAAAATTCTACCTCGTAGCCCAGGAAGTACAAACTAAATTTCATCTCAGAGAAATCCAGCCTCTTTAGCAATCTGGAATAACGTAAAATATAAAGAGCCCATAAGCCTACAGAACAGAGGAACCCATTTGCTTCCCTGAGGACTTAAGAGAGAAGATGATTCAAGAGATGGAAAAAACTTACGACATTCCCAGCACGTGTGAGTAAAAGTCAAGACTAGCCTTAGGGTCCTTGATCCGAAACATCTGAGAGTTACAAAAAGATGGAAAAATGGAACAATTTCAATGGTTGAAGTGGAAAAAGGAAAGGGCAAACAATCACTATCTAAACAAAGAAGATACAAGACGGCTTACAACACCTAATCAGAGAGTAGCAGCACTCAAAAGTTCAAGAAAAAGGGAAGGATTGGTTTTCCGAATCTTTAATCACCACTTAGTACATTCAATGAAAAGGCACATTCTTTACCACACCAAGAATTAAATCTATAACTTGGTTCAGTCTCCTGCAAATTTCCCTGTCATTTCTAGATATTTAGATTATATTTTCAAATGAAGGCTACTTTGATGATTATCACAGTTTCATCCAAAATTACCAAAGTGAAAGATACTATGCTAAGATCAAGAACACAATGTCAAGCATTAGAGCAGATTCAAACAACAGTTCTTTAGAAGAAATACGCAAACTCAACGATAAAGCTAAATAACACATACGAAAGCCCTAACTGAGAACAAACACCCATCCATTCACCTTAAGAACCCCAAGACATGTAACTTCCAGTTTCAATACAAAAATTACAGATCGGTCAATCAAATCGTAAATCGAGGCAGAGGAATCTTACAGTCTGCTGCATGATATATCCTTTTGTAGCCTCATCCCTAACCGTTGACAAGCCAGGATTGTTAGCTGGTGATTCCCTCGCTTCCGATGCCATCGAGAACACACGAAGCTGATCAAATCTCTACAAAATCGAACAGACCCAGATGATTAAACAACACACATAGTCCAAATAAACGATTCCAAGCAAGTGATTTCCAAAAAAGCATAAACCTTTGGCCTCCGGGTACTGTTGCAAGGGCAAGTGATGAAAGAAAAACCGGTGGAATAAGGTTTAACGAAACGAATTAGAGGTGATATGCGAGATATAGCAATTGCTATTGAGTACGAACCCATTACGTTTCCTTGGATTATCAAAAAATTTGAGCAAAAAAGGAAAAAGGAGAGAGATTTACCTCTGTGGCTGTGACTGTGACTGGGAGAGTGGAAGAGTTTTGGGGTCAGCTCAAATGCGTTTTGACGTACGGGATTAGTTGCAAACGACGTCGTTGGTTTGGAAAATCAGTTTTCCTTACCGGTTTTGCTCGGTTCCGGTTTGGCTGAATCAACGGTGATAGATTTTGTTATGGTACGGTGATCACTGATCAACTGTGTCTATGATGGGTTTATTCTTGGGTTAAGCAAGTTTCTAAGCGTTTTGACGTAAGTAGAGAGGTATTCATATTTAGAGGAATTGAAAAGAAATTATTTTGTTTGGATGCATCGTGGAAAACAATATGACCATTGTGATGAAACATTATGGAGCAATCTGGAAGTTGCATGTGCAAGATTATGTTAAATGTATTCAAATTTTCATGTTGTTGTTGATCCATTTCGACATGGACCTATACTGAAGAGAAATGTGTTGGTAATCACAAGTCAAGTTGAATGGAAACGTGTGCATGAGTATATATGCACGATGAGCAAATATGTAGTGTTTTTTTTTATAAAGTTACTAAAACTGTTGATGAGCAACGCTGCCTTCTCAGCTCCACTTGGAGGCTTTTTGGGGGCAGATCCATGCTGCATGTGTTAAAGAAAAAACTCAATTGCCTACGGCCACAAAAATGAGATTTAAGTATTTCTTCTAAAATTAGGGTTAAGTATTTCGTTTAATATAATTTCAAATATGTAGTTTGAGAAGATACAAAGTACAAACATTTAAATGATGAGGTAACTGAGAGATGTGATGAAGGACGATCAAATCTCTTTTTTCCATTAGACGGATACTTTTTATAGTTTTGTTTGAAGTTTTCTTGATAAAACAACTCGTACGTTGTCAATACGTTTTTTTCTTTTTATATACCATGACGTTGTTATTACGTTAAATAAATAAACTAACATTGGATTTGAAGTGGTAACTTTGGACCTATATATAACTTGGCGTATTATATAATTAAACCAAGCACTTTACCAAGAAATTTAATAAACCATTCAATCTTATAATATAGGATTATAAATCATTCCAAGATTCTAATCTGCCCCGGCGTTTCCAGATTTTGAATGTTGTTTTTGACTCATCTTTGATTTGACAATTATGCTATTTAAAAAAAAAATTGATTTGACAAGTATCTGATAGACACATTATCATATTTATATTTTATTGTGACATCATCGATAAGTTGACTTTCTAAAATCGGACAGCAAAATTTTGTCTTTTCTCAAACCCCAACAGGCCTCAACAGAGGGAACACCGGCCACGTCACCAAGATTGATGTATATACGCTAGCGGCACGGAAATGGTACGGCGAAAATATACGTATACAACTACTTTTTCTTGTTATTTTTAAGACGTCATCTACAACTACATCCCGTGAGCGCAATTGCTAGAGCACGGGAGAATGAAGAGTAATGATTTCAGCAAGAGCAGCCGGACGGACTATTCTAGTGAGACGTATATCTATCTACCTATATCAATTCGCCGGAGTCGATTTAATATCTACCTATTTCTAATTATGTAACTATTCTTATAAACACGTGATTAGGAATTTTCTTGTTCATTGATCAATTTTATCTCACATATTTATATTTATGATTTTTTGTCTAAGTTGTTTAATCAAATATATCATACATATATTTTCATAGTTTGTGAGAAATCTAAAGTTTCTAAATTTATCAAAGACATTACATCCATGTTTAAGTCTAATCATGGATATGTAAAATTGCTAATGCCAGTAAAACTATATTTTTTTTTGGTGAGTATGCCAGTAAAACTATATTACAACCAACTTAAATATCGAACAAAGTTATGTATATATGTGGTATAGATGGTTGGGGACTATATACATCATGTGCTATATAAAATTATCCAATTTTTGCAGTATTATATGTGGAAAAATATATAATATTTTTGTTGAAGTAATAAGCGTATTGATTATTTAGAGACAACTAATGTGCAGCTAAGGCCACAATAAAATAAATCGTCCAGGAGACAGCAGTTTTCTTCACCACAATTATTCCTATTCTTGATACGATGTGATATAGAATTACATTGATACCCTTAAGAATTATGAAGAATTGGTCTAGCTGCATAAAAGAGAATCACAATGACATTACTTAAAAATGATTAAAACATGGATTTAAAAAAGAAACATAGAGCATTAATTGTCTTTCATGACAAGTCAAAAGGATTCCACTTCCACATACATAGCGATTTCTGAAACACAAGAGAAGGGAAGGGTACAGTTGTCACTTGTCATCTGAGAGGTGAATATCGGCAACCTTTGGGGATTAGCGAGAGAGTACGAAAGATGCTTGCGGCGAAAACTGATTCCTCGGAAAAATGTATTTTTAATATTGTTAGTTAGCCGTTGAGAATCTCCAAAGAATACTTTTTTTTTTTTGAAATTGTCAAAGCTATACGAATCCTATATAAGCCCTCCTCGTGTAACTAATATCTAAGTACATCAGTCAAATAAACTTGAAATTTCTCAAAGGAACTTGATACGTTTTAAATTCATGGGTGATTCTAATGGTGAACCCGGAAGCTCCATGCATGGAGTTACCGGTAGAGAACAGAGCTATGCTTTCTCGGTAGATACACCAACTGTGCCGACCAACACAAAGAAAAAGTACAACCTGCCGGTGGATGCAGAGGATAAGGCAACGGTTTTCAAGCTCTTCTCCTTCGCAAAACCTCATATGAGAACGTTCCACCTCTCGTGGATCTCTTTCTCAACATGTTTCGTCTCGACATTCGCTGCTGCACCACTTATCCCGATCATCAGGGAGAATCTCAACCTCACCAAACAAGACATTGGAAACGCAGGAGTTGCCTCTGTCTCTGGGAGTATTTTTTCTAGGCTGGTGATGGGAGCCGTGTGTGATCTTTTGGGTCCTCGTTACGGCTGTGCCTTCCTTGTGATGCTGTCTGCGCCAACGGTGTTCTCCATGAGTTTCGTGAGTGGAGCCGCAGGCTTCATAACGGTGAGGTTCATGATTGGTTTCTGCCTGGCGACGTTTGTGTCTTGTCAATACTGGATGAGCACTATGTTCACCAGTCAGATCATCGGTCTGGTAAACGGGACAGCAGCCGGATGGGGAAACATGGGTGGCGGCATAACGCAGTTGCTCATGCCTATTGTGTATGAAATCATTAGGCGTTGCGGTTCAACAGCGTTCACGGCCTGGAGGATCGCCTTCTTTGTCCCCGGTTGGTTGCACATCATTATGGGAATCTTGGTGCTCACGCTAGGTCAAGATCTGCCAGGTGGAAACCGAGCTGCCATGGAGAAATCGGGAGAAGTTGCCAAAGACAAATTCGGAAAGGTATCTCTATCTACATGAATATGTCAAAACAATTTAGTCCAACTATATCATAGATGGATCGGATCAAATAGGCTAACTCGTGATATCGTATAAATCGTGTAGATTCTGTGGTATGCCGTTACAAATTACAGGACTTGGATTTTCGTTCTTCTGTATGGATATTCCATGGGAGTTGAGTTAAGCACTGACAATGTTATCGCCGAGTACTTCTTTGACAGGTTTGTTTTCCGTATTGATTGGAAATGGATAACTTTACATATATTCAGGAACAACATAAGAGTAAAATGTATAATATGGTTCGTTCAGGTTTCACTTGAAACTTCACACAGCGGGGATCATAGCAGCGTGTTTCGGGATGGCCAATTTCTTTGCTCGTCCAGCAGGAGGCTGGGCATCTGACATTGCAGCCAGGCGCTTCGGGATGAGAGGGAGGTTGTGGACGTTGTGGATCATTCAGACGGCCGGTGGTCTCTTTTGTGTGTGGCTCGGTCGTGCCAACACGCTCGTCACTGCCGTTGTATCTATGGTCCTCTTCTCTTTAGGAGCACAAGCCGCTTGTGGAGCCACCTTTGCAATCGTGCCCTTTGTCTCCCGGAGAGCTCTAGGCATTATCTCTGGTTTAACCGGAGCTGGAGGCAATTTTGGGTCTGGACTCACACAACTCGTCTTCTTCTCGACTTCACGCTTCACAACTGAAGAAGGGCTAACGTGGATGGGAGTGATGATAGTTGCTTGCACGTTGCCTGTGACCTTAATCCACTTTCCTCAATGGGGAAGCATGTTCTTGCCTCCCTCCAACGATTCGATCGATGCCACGGAGCATTATTATGTTTCCGAGTATAATAAGCAGGAGCAGCAGGATGGCATGCATTTAAAAAGCATCAAGTTTGCTGAGGGAGCCAGGACCGAGGGCGGCCCCAGCGTCCACAATGGGAACATTTCCAACAATGCTTGATCATGCCATTGATGTCGACAAAACGAATGATTTCACTCATGTGAAATGGAAACAAACTATTGGAATATAAACACCCATTTCTTTCGTCATATTTGATTGCGTTTTGTTTTTTGTTTCTGCTTTTCTGGATTATTCTTTTCTATATGTTTGTAACGAGCGGTTTATAAAACTTAAAAGCTCTTTTTGGTTGAATTGTGCGTACGTGTTAAGAATTTCATAGAACAAGGGGAAGCATCAGAGAAGGAAAACAAAAATGTTACTTGGCTATATATATAGTTGTTATATCCCGATTTTACACGTTCATCGGTTCATGCCCATAAAATTTTTAAAACTTTCATACATTACCATCACGTATAGATGCTTTTAAAAATGCATTTAGATATGAATAAAATTTGGTTTATTTTATGTTTCCAATGACTCTGTTCTTTTCCACGACGCAGCGACTCTGACGAGCGACTAGAAAGAAAGCACAGTTTTTCTCTGATTTATTTGTTTAGTGTCGCTGAAACTAAAAACGAGCGATTTCGATGACTTAAACAAAAAAAGGATGGGCGTCGCTATAATTTACAGCGACAACTTTAATGGCCTAAAAAAACTGATGACAGTTCCATTACCATATCAATATCAGCGACAGTTGAATAACAACGTGGCGAAGGAATTTATCTTTCCCCGTTTATAGT